CCCCATGTGTCTGGGCGAAGCTCCCAACCAACATACTCAACAACAAAAACAAAACAAACAAATGTATGAAAACTCTGTGTTTTAGTTCTGTTCTCTTCTGTTGCCTTATTTTGTAGTCTATATTGATCTGTCTTCCAGATGAATGTTTTTCTTTGGGCCATTTTCTTCCCTTACAGGCACTCAGGGCTATACATTAACTGCAGAGTTCTGTTTCCCTGCCACTTTCCAAAGTTAAATATGGATCAGCCAGACCGGCTGCACCTGCCCCACTGGCTTGCCTAATTTGCACGATGTCTGCGAGCACATCTGGTTAGGATACAGTCCAGTTCTGTAGAACAATTTGTTCCCTTTTGTTGCCATGGTGGAGACGTGTCTGTGACCCTTGGTGTTTGCCAGAGAGAGCATCCTGAAGCTGTTTTGAACCTGGAAATTCTTTTCTCAGCAATTGTACTTACCTTCAGATTTCTTTTTTGGGTCATTCTGTCTGTGGTTGCCTCTCCTGGCTAAAACTACTGTCAAAATAGTTGTATCTATGTCATACACAGCATTCAACACTATGATAATTATACAGACAACTAGTCATGAGCAGGAAAGATATCTGTCTGAGACAGGAGAGCTGTTTGCAGGCTGTCTGCTACCCTCCAAACTGCAACACAAAGAAACATGATGAAAAAAATTGAAAAGACCTCAGGATTTGGGAGGCTGTGGCAGGAGGATTGTCAGAAGGTTGGGGCCAGCCTGGGCTACAAGGTGAGTTCTAAGGTAGCTATGAACCCCTATCTAAAAACAAAACAAAACAACAACAAAAAACAAAAACAAAAAAATACAAAACTTAAGAGCTGGGCATGGTGGCTTGCACCTATAAACTGAGCGTTAGAAAAGTAGTCACAGGAAGTTCTGTAGCTCAAGATCATCTTCTATTACATGCCAAGTTCAAGGCCAGCTCAAGTTTCCTGATACCCTGTGTCAAAAAGCAAAACCACAAAAAATCCATTGAGTACATTCCCTGGGAGCATCAGAGCCCAGGTCTCCTGTAGGACACAGAAGCTATGCTGTGGACAGGCTGCCCACGTGGGGATGTAGGCAGAGTCAAAGTCTGTGATGCTACATGCGGCCTGTATGGACTAGTTCTGAGATACCTCTAGGGACGGTTAGAAATACTTAAGGAGATCTTGCATAGCTTGGAATCCTTTAACAGATACCTTAATACAGTATTAAAAAATACCACGTTATTTGAGCTGTTAGTGGCCTGTGACATTATTTAGATCTCCCATTTAGAGACCTCAGATGTTTCCAAATCATATTCTAACCTCCCTCATCTCCCCTGATTATAATTTTGTTTTTAATTTTCAGTTGGTGCAGTGCTGGGATGGAACCCAAGGCCTTGTGCATGACTGCTTAGTCAATCATTGAGGTATTTATCCCTAGCCAGCCTTTTACCATGAGCAGCTTTCTGTATCACAGTTTAGCTTTCAAAAGTTCTTCCTTTTACAAATGAAAACCACGGTGATGACAATATCTTACATTTACTGACTAGGCTGAGCCCTTTACAAGGCTGCCTGCCATCCCATAACCACATTACAGAGAAGACTGTTGATTTGTTTGTTTACTTGTTTGTTTGTTTGTTTGTTTGTTTGTTTGTTTTGAGACAAGGTTTCACTGTGTAGTCCAAGATAATCCCAAACTTATGGCAATTCTCCTGTTTCAGCCTCATGTGTGCGTGAATTCAGGGAAAAACTCATTATGCCTAGCTTGCTTGCCTGTTTGTTTGCTATAGCACTGGGGATCAGAACCAGGCCCTTGCCCATGCTTGGCAAACATGAGCTACACCCCCACAGTCTTATCAACCCTCATTTTGTAGATAAGAAAAATAAAGTTCAGCGAGGTGAATTAACTTGCCTTGGCTTCCTTGACTAGTGAGTAATGGGCTCACTCTCTTAAACTACAATCCATTTTCCCCAGCACTCTTTTCCCAGGGCCTGTGGTAATCTAATCTATGGAGTAGAGTGATCATAATTAACCAATCAAGCACTACAAATTATTTGATCATTCTCCCCATCAAGCACTACAAATTATTTAATCATTCTCTTGTGGTTGTGACATATAGGGATGATGGTGGTGATGGTGGTGAATGTAGCGATTTGAATGATAATAGTTCCCATAGGATTTTGAATATCTTGTTTCCAGCTGGTGAACTGTTTGGGAAGAATTGGGAGGTGTGGCCTTATTGGAGGAGGTGTGTCTTTGGGGTTGGGCTTTAAAGTTTCAAATGACTCCTGGGATTCCCAGTGCTTTCTCTCTGCCTCGTTAGTGATTGTGGGCCAGGATGGGAGCCCTCAGCTGGCTTTTGTTTGTTTTTGTTTTGTTTGCCCCTCCATCGTGGACTCTAATTCTTTGAAACCAAAAGCCAAAATTAATTGGTTTCTTTTATTAGTTACCTTTGTCATGGTGTTTTATGGCAGCAATAGAAAAGGACCTAAGACAGAGATAATGGCAGTAGCGATGGTGATGCTCATGCATTATAAATGAATATGAGGGCCGGGCGGTGGTGGCGCACGCCTTTAATCCCAGCACTCGGGAGGCAGAGGCAGGCGGATCTTTGTGAGTTCGAGGCCAGCCTGGTCTACAGAGCAAGATCCAGGAAAGGCGCAAAGCTACACAGAGAAACCCTGTCTCGAAAAACCAAAAATAAATAAATAAATAAATAAATAAATAAATAAATAAATAAATGAATGAATGAATGAATATGAGGTGAGAACATCTCAGTTTTATCCCAGTCTCCATCGTGACATTCTGGTCTTCACAGATCATTTATTCTTCATGAAATGATGTGAATTCTCCCGCCCTTTTTAACTTTCCTTACACATGGTTAATTTCTCTCTCTCTCTCTCTCTCTCTCTCTCTCTGTCTCTCTCTCTCTCTCTGTCTCTCTGTCTCTCTGTCTCTCTCTGTCTCTCTCTCTCTCTTTTGCTGGAGCAACTGAAACTTGCATGTCTTTGAAGATACCACACACTCGGACAGAATGCCCCCCTTTCCCACTGTGGCCCTTGGCTCACACTGAGGCCCTTACAGGCTTGTCAGCACATTGACTGATGAAAATCAGTCTACATGGATTTGTGAGCACAGCCAGGGAAGAGATTGGTATGGGGCATTTGTTAATATGAAGGTGTCAGAATCCCGCACTAGACCAGTGGGGTTAAACTCTTCAGAAGCAACCTGGAAGTCTGCATTTTTGCCAAGTTCTTCAGGTGATTCCTGCCACCTCAGCATTGGAGAACCCCTGCCTGAGTGTTCTGGGCAGGACAGGATGCACATGAGAAGACCTAGTTTTGTCAGAAAGTCACCCATGCCTCTCCTTCCTGAGGAGTCCCACCACTCTCACTGTGGGCTACAGAGAAAGCATCATGTGTGCCGGCAGTGGTAGCACACACCTGTAATCCTAGTACTTGAGAGCTGGAGACAGAAGGATGTGAGGTTCAAAGTCATCCTCGGCTACATCGTGAGTTCAAGGTCAGCCAGGGCTATGTGAGGTCCTGTCTAAGAAACAAAGCAAAACACCCATTAAAAAAAAGAACGACGCCGGGCGGTGGTGGCGCACGCCTTTAATCCCAGCACTCGGGAGGCAGAGCCAGGTGGATCTCTGTGAGTTCGAGGCCAGCCTGGTCTCCAAAGCGAGTTCCAGGAAAGGCGCAAAGCTACACAGAGAAACCCTGTCTCGAAAAACCAAAAAAAAAAAAAAAAAAGAACGACACCCTCTCCACCATTTCCAGTAGTCCAAGCTGGGGTCATCTTTGGGGATTCCTGGCACCTTCCCTAGCCCTGGATTTCTCTCTGTCCCCATGATACCTCCCTCTATCATGGTATCTCTTTCATTGCTTTTCCCTCCCTCCCTGTTCCAGCTCAACCATCCCACTCCCTTATATTCTCATCCCCTATTCCCTACCCTCCATTGCCCACCCCTCATGCCCAGTTTATTCATGGAGATCTCATCTATTTCCCCCTCCCAGGGTGGTCCATGTGTCCCTCTTTGGCCTTGTTAACTAGCTTCTCTGGAGTTGTGGTTTGTTGTCTGATTATCCTTTGCTTTACATCTAGTATCCACTTATGAGTGAGTACATACCATGTTTGTCCTTCTGAGTCTGGGTTACCTCACTCAGGATGATATTTTCTAGTTCCATCCATTTATCTGCAAATTTCATGATGTCATTGTTTTTCTCTGCTGAGTAGTACTCCATTGTGTATATGTACCACATTTTCTTAATCCATTTTTCAGTTGAGGGGCGTCTAGGTTGTTTCCAGGTTCTGACTATTATGAATAATGCTGCTATGAGCATAGTTGAGCATGTGTCCTTGTGTGGTATGACTGAGCATTCCTTGGGTATATGCCCAAGAGTGGTATAGCTGGGTATCAAGGTAGTGATTCCCAATTTTCTGAGAAACTGCCATGCTGATTTCCAAATTGAGCTGGCTTACCCCAGTGATCAGACCAGTGAATACCCTAACTGTTATCATAGAGCTTCCCTCCAGTGACTGATGGAAGCAGATGCAGAGATCCACAGCCAAACACCAGGCAGAGTTCCAGGAGTCCAGTCGAAGAAAGAGAAGAGGGATTCTTGAGCAGATGCATCGGGATCATGATGGAGAAACCTGCAGAGACGACCAAACCAAACTAGTGCGAACTCATGAAAGTTGGATCAATGGCTGTGGGACCTGCATGGGAATGGACTAGGCCCTCTGCAATGCAAGACAATTGTGTAGCTTGATCTGCTTGGGGGCCCCTCTAATGGTAGGATCAAAATCCATCCCTGGTGCATGAGTGGGCTTTTTGGAGCCCACTACCTATGATGGGACACCTCCTGCAGCCTTGAGGCAGGGGGAAGGGCTTGGACTTGCCTCTACTGGATGTGCCTCCCCATGGGAGGCCTTGCCTTCTTGTGGGGGGGGGTAGTGGGGGATGGATTGGAAGGGGGAGGCTGGGGGGGAGGAGAGAAGAGGGGAATCTCTGATTGGTGTGTAAAATGAATGCAAAAATTTTCTTAATTAAAAAAAAGAACGAGAGAAAGAAACATGTGCTTATCGTTCTAGCCAGGTGAACTTGAACTACTGCAGAGGCCACAAGCAATTCCTGCTCTAAGTAATTTTTATCAGTTCTTTTTGTTATTCATATATAATTCATGCACAAGATAAAAAATGATCATATTGTCCTGTGAATGCCATTCTCTTTCCTACCTCCATTCCTCAGCTTGCCAGCACCCACCACCTCCAGAGGTAATCAGCATATGTTTGGTTGTGTATTTTTAGTAAAGGGTTTGTAATTTTAGAAAATTATATTCTTACATGATTCAGTGGTCAGTTTGTGCAGAGGACAGATCTTGCTTTCTGAAATAATTTTTAAAATTTGAGATATAGAGAGGATCACAAAATTTTGCAAAGATAATGTGACATATTTTAGTCTCCTATTACCCTGTTTTCTGCAGTGTGTGTGTGTGTGTGTGTGTGTGTGTGTGTGTGTGTGTGTGTATGCCATTTTATCACCTACAGATTCCAGTGACCAACCCTGCAATCAAGATACTTCATGAATCTGTCAACAGCATATGCATACAACTCATCGATGACTGACTACTAGCTTCTTCAGTTTGCCAATTCACAAGTAGAAACCCTATAAGTCAATCTAACCAACCCATGTTTAATTGCCCTGAATAGTTCATTCGCATCCTTTGAGAGCCACATCAGACAATGTGATATTTCCGCTCCCTATATCTGACATACTTATTTTAAAATATTTATTTATTGTTTGTTTGTTTGTTTGTTTGTTGTTTTCTTAAGGCATGGCCTCACCTAGCCCAGGCAGGCCTTGAACTCACTATGTAGCTAAAGATGACCTTGAACATCTCATTGGCCTGTCTCCAACTCACAAGTACATCAAACTCAGAACACTCAAGCAGCAGAAGGGAAGTGCTTTTATTGGCTCACGTTTTCAGTTCCTGCTTGTCCCTTTTCCCCTCTGCTGTTCATAGATTCCTTCTTTCCTTGTTGCATCATTTGGGGAAACCTTTGTATTTATCCTTTTTTCAAGGTGATGGCTTTTCTTGTCTTGATTTCCCCTTCATTCCTGGAGATATTTTTGCTGGATATGTGCAGGGCGTTTACCCACCAACCCCACAGCTCTCTCTCAAGAGTTTTCTTGAGTTCGAGCAGCAGGAAATATTAGATAGAAGGATTTAGATTGTGGAGATAAACAGATAGAAAATAAAGGATAGCCTCCAGAGAGCCTGGAACCTATTCCAATGGGCCCCGACTGTCTCTGCCCCAGGGTATTTATAGAGATGCCAAGGGGTGGAGCAAAAGACCTCCTCCCCCAGCACAGCCAAGTGCAGACCATCTCAGACACCTGCACTCAGGCCCGTGGTCCTAATCAGCCTCTCTATGAGGACCTGCTGGGTAAAGCCACGAGGAACCTGAAAACGGGCTCCCACAGATATGGGATTCTCGGCTCCTCCCTCTTCCTCCCCCCCCACCCCCCACCCTTTTCCTCTTCCTCTTCTTGTGCTTGGCTGTACCCAGTGTTTAGTTGCCCTTAGTGATTAGGAAGAAATAGCAATGTGCCCACCTCAGCCCATCCAAGAAATGAGAGGGGGGGTTATGCGTTTTTGATTTGTTCGACTGGAACTTGCAAGTGGGAAGTGGACATGCTTCCTTCCCGTCGATGGCGAACAGAGTGTGCAGGGGACCAACACCAGGCTGAGGATTTTATACTTTTGACCTGGAGGACAGTTTTAGATGGTGAATTTATAGTGATAATTGGGTGAGTTGTCTAAAACATGGGGAAGTGTGGGGTGTGGAGGCGAAGGAGTTAAAGAACTGAAGTGGAGGAGAACTCCAGACTCCAGGGTTGAACGGAGGACGTACACACTGAAGCAGGATCTTTCCCTGAGGCTCACCCCAGGGCCACCTTCAGCTCACTGCACCTGCTTACAGGAGCCGCCTGGGGATCCATCAGGGACTGAAGCTTCTCCTGAAATGAGCTGAAGATGCGTTCATTGTACACCTGCTGTGTTCATTGACCTGAAGTGGCGTAGGAACAGGCAGCCATTGTGGCTCTCGCTGCTTCGTGGGTTTCTTGTGGGGATATTTTGTTTGTACTCTAACAAATAAAGTTTGCCTGAGGATCAGAGGGCAAAGCCAGCCACTAGATTAAACATAGAGGCCAGGCAGTGGTGACACACACCTTTAATCCCAGCACTTGGGATCTCATGCTTTTGCTCCCAGTGTTTGGGAAGCACACACGCCTTCAATCCCAGCACCAGGGAGGTGGAGACAGGAAGTGATATGGCTGGGCAGAGAGAGGCCTACAAGGCGGGAGGAGACAGGAACTCAGTCCTTTAGGCTGAGGACTCAGGGGCATTCAGTCTGAGGATTTGTGGAGACAGGATCTTCCCCTTTTGGCTGAGGAGTTGGTGAAGTGAGAAGTGGCTGTGGCTTGTTTCCTCTGATCTTTCAGCATTTACCCCAATATCTGGCTCTGAGTTTTTATTATAAGACCAATTGGATTCACGCAACAGTTCCTTTCACATCCTCCTTCTCTTCTGGGCTTCCCACACCCTAGACCAGCCCTTACTTGTCATTCCACAGGAAGAGACGGTGATGAACAAAACATTAACCAGACATTATGGCTCACTACCTAATCCTTGCACATGATAGGCAGAACTCCAAAATCCAGTGGAAGAAAGGTTTTCCCCTGGGAAGTCTGAGGTAGTTACAGGAGCCACAGGCATGTCCCTGACTTCTGAGGTGATGCCAAGTGCGTCCAGGTGATCTTGTGATTGTTGGGTGGCTGTCCTGGTCCATTGCCCATGCCTGACACTCTTTAGAGACAAGGCAGGCAGCTTGTGACAGCTTTCCCAGCCAGAGAACATCAGGCTTAGCAGATAGAGTGCCATTTGCGAGGCTACCACCCACCTGAGACACACAGCCTGTCCGGTGGGCTCTGCTCCTGGTTTTCATAGGCTCTGCCCGAAGGGAGCAAGGCTCCCCAGGCTCATGATGAGGCTCTGGCGGAGGAGCTGCTCCAAGGTCCTCTGTGCTGTGCTCATTCTGGTAGCAGCCAACATTTTGCTGGTGGTGTTTTACACCAAGGGGACCATAAAGAGTTTGGTTGTGGGCAGCCTTCACAAGGAGGGGGCTGCTGTGGCCCAGAGACCCTTGCACCTGAAGAAGGATGTGCACCACTCAAGTAAGTTCTACACTGGGAGGGGAAATCTTAGGGTGTGCAGGCTGACGGAACTTTAGGAACTTAAGAAAAAAGGGCATGGAGGGAAAAATCAAGGGAGAGGCCAAGTCTTCAGTCTGACAATCACACTGTTGGAACAATGGACTCCAAAGGGAAGGGAATTTCCCCAGGAATCTCATGCTGGGAGTTGGAAAAAGTGTCAGCCAGGGAGGGAACTTGGGAAAGATTTCACACAATTTTAACAACTTGTCATATCACCATTACACGATGGGACTGGAGCCCAGACAAGAATGGGTTAGTGGTGGAGATCATCCAGGGCTACAGGAGGCTTTCCCTATAAACACACAAACAAGCAAATAAATAAATTGAGACATGAGCATTTATCATCATTCAGAGTGAAGGAGAAGGGTGGCACATGTGTGTTCTCAAAGACACACACATACATTAACCAAATAAAAAGATTCAGAGACAGGTTTTGGGGCCAGGGGAAACAAGCACCATTGTGTGAGCATATGCTTGGTATAAAACTGTAGCTTGAATCCTAATTGGTCTTGAAAACCTGTAGCCAGATATCAGTGTCTGTGGCTTGTTTCTTTGCCTCTCTGATCTTTCAGAATTTCCCCCCATTATCTGGCTCCAGGTTTTTATTATCAAGACCAATTAGAATTCTTGCTACATAAAAACCAGTATGAATAATAGTGGAATTCGAGTGGAATGCTCTGCAGCATTGTATGAGCACATGCTTGGTACAGAACAGTATGAATAATAGTGAAATTCGAGTGCAATACTCTGCACCAAGCTCTCACTTTTCTTTCCCACCTGAGCAAATATCCGGGACGTTTGCATAGTCTCCTTTGAAAGACCAAACACTATTTTCTCCCCAGGTTTGCTTTTCTCATTCCCCTTTTATCTTGAGCACCTCTCTTAATCTTTCTTCCTTCTCCTTTGGCCAATCTGTATTGGGGCGAATGCTGAAAGGTCAGAGAAACAGAACAAGCCACAGCCAACCTCACCTTGCCAGTTCCTCAGCTGATCCTGTTTCCTCAAACTGGAAGCCTCTGAGTCCTCACCCGAATGGATCTCAGCTGAACTGCTGCTAAAAGTTAAAAGCTTAAAAAGAGCTCTAGTTCCTGGTCCTCACACCTTATATACCTTTCTGCTTCCTGTCATCACTTCCTGGGATTAAAGGCATGTGTCACCATGCCTGGATGTTTCCAGTGTGGCTTTGAACTCACAGAGATCCAGATGGATCTCTGTCTCTTGAATGCTAGGATTAAAGGTGTGTGTGCCACCATTTTCTGGTCTCTATGTCTGTCTAGTGGCTGTTCTGTCCACAATATATTGGGGGACAATATCACCATACCAATCTTATCTCATCCCCTGCACACATTTGCCTCCCAGTTGTAGCCTTTCTTACGTCCATCTTGGAGGGCTGTTCATGCTTCTGGACTCAAACACACGTTCTGCTCAACAAGCCACGTGCTGTGCATGGGATGGACTTGTGTCTCGGAGAAGCCATGCAGTGGGGTGGTCCCTTGCCAGGCTGGTAAGCCTGGTCTGCAATCATCCAGAAGAACTATACCTTGGTCTAACATGCAAGGAGATTCTGGATGGGGTAAAGGGGTCCTCTCAGTCTGGTTGGAGTTTAAAGTGGGCTGGAGGAAGGGCACGTGGTTCTGTGGTGGGAAGCCTTCATCACTATTGTGGGGTCTAATGCCAGAAGGTCTGTCTATCTGTCTCTCTCTCTCTCTTGATTCAGTTTGAGAGTCTTCAAAGTGCCTATGTTAAGACTCCATTTTGCAGCATAAATCAATCTCACAGGGTTGTCAAGGGGAAGTTAATGGGGTCGAGGGAAGCAGTGACGTCTGCAGGCTACTTTCTGAATGGGAAGCATCATTGCTACGATTGGTTGACTGGACCATTTAGGCCTCCTCTGCATGGGATTCCTCTACCTGTATCCATCACCATCTGGTCATTATTTTGAGTTAAGATCATGATTCTCAAATGAATGTGGCTATTAGCTCCATCGGGAGCAACTGTGGAAAACAAACCAAGCTAAACTCGTTAAACAGCTTCCATACTCTATCCCAGACCCAGGGGATCAGTGTGTCTAGGGAAGGCCTGGGATCCTGCATTTTTTGTGAGCACCTGAAGACAATCTTGTAATCAAACAAACTGAAATGTAGGCCTGATTTGTCCATAGCTTAGAAGTTCCTGGTCTATCAACCGTGTGAGATGTGACGGGATGGGTGGCCAGTGTGACACTCTAAAATGTCTTTGCTAGCCACTAATAGTGTGATATTTGCAAAGTAAATGAAGATTCTAGTATCTTCTTCTGTCTGTACATTCGCCTGGCCCTGAGACTCTGATTTGGTAGATTTGGGGGACATCTATGTTAACACACACACACACACACACACACACACACACACACACACACACACAAGAAAATGCATAGCTGACATTTCTTTTGTGACTCTTAGGTCTCATTCTGAGAAATGCTATCTTACTATAAATTATTTCTGAGATCAAAGTCAGCTCCTAAAGGAGCCCTAGGGTGAGGTGTGGGTGGGTTTTGATGGTGCTGAAGAGAGAGCTATGTCTTGCTAGAGCAGCCTTGCACAGCTCTGACAAGGACTCTTTACCAATATCTTCTCTGGGACAAGAGTTTGTAAGGTCTAACATTTGGAGAATCTTCCAGTCAGCTTCCTATAGTGTAACAGATTCCTGAGCCGATCGATCCACTTATAAAAAGAAAAGGTTTCCATGTGTTCAACACTTTGGAAAGTCTAGCGCATGGTTGATCGGCAATGCTGGTTGGCCCGGTTGCTTTGAGCCTGAGAGAAAGCAGCCACCATGGCATGGTGCCATGGAGGAAGCAGATTGCTGCATGGAAGTGAGAAGCAAAGAAAACACTGGCCAGGTCTCTGGTGTCCCCTTTGAAGGGCAGCCCCACATGACTGGAAGACTCTTAACTAGGCCTATCTCTTAAGGTCTCTACCCTCCTCATGGCACTGGGGAAGAGGACCAAGCCTCAGACTACGAGTCTCTTGCAGGAACATTTGAGGTGCAAGCTGTAGCAGAGAGAAGACGGTCCAGAGGAAGTTAGGTTGGAAAGCAGTGTCCAGCTTTCTAAGGATTGGCTGAAATGGTTTCACACCACTCCCATCCTCTTTATTTTCAGGAAAAAGTCTGAAATCGACTATGAAGCAACAAAGCCATGTGAGACAGGGAAATGCTGAATTCCACCCTGGTTGGAAAGGAGTGAAAGCCAGGTTGGCACCCAAGAAATTCTTCCCGCAATGGGGGAAGGGACTCTCCCAGGCTCGTCAGAAAGAGGCTCATTACTTGTTCCTGAAATTCGGTTACAACGCGTTCCTCAGCAACCAGTTGCCTTTTAACAGAAGCATCCCTGACACCCGCCATGCCAGGTGATCTGGACCAGGGGTGGCTTTGCCAGACCTCAGTGTAGTTTGGTGATGAACGTCGGGAGCCGTGCCGGTAAAGGGGTAGAAAGATGGGTGAGGGGAGCAGACAACTGTGGGGAAGGGGATGGGCAGACCTTTCTCTTGCCGTATTTAGTTTAGTTTTGTTGTTTTGAGGAAAGTTCTTAGCATGTCGCCAGGGCTGGCCTCAAACTAGAAACCCTCTTGCCTCAGCCTTCTGAGTGCTTCGAAGACAGTGTGCCCTCCCACCGTGCCTAGCTGGGTTCTTGTTTTTATTTCACTTTATGATGGCGTATCAGAGAAGATAATGGACTAATTCAAATGCTCTAGCTCCCTGGAGAGAGGGAGAGGGCATGCAGGAAGAGATCCCACGTAGTGGGGCTGATCCTCTCCCCAAACCCTAGAGTGGAATGAGGGCTTGACTCAGTCCCCCCTCACTCAGCTTCCTGCTCTGGCTTTTCCTCAGTTCTCTGTTTGGATCCTGTTCCTCACTGAATCTCATAGTTTCCTTCCTGGGTGAAGCCGTCCTCCCAGTTTCCCTCTCCATTGCTCTAGCTCTTTCTGCCCTCCCCTCATACACACGCACTTCCATTACACACACACACACACACACACACACACACACACACACACACACACACACACACACACCAAAACAAATAAACAAAAACCACTCAAGCTTTTTGTTTTTTTGAGACATGATCTTATGTAGCCCAGGCTGAACGCAGATTCTATGTGGCTGAGGATGCCTTTGACCTCCTGATCTTCTCAGCCCTCTGTGTGCTGGGATGACAGGTGTCTACCATCACTCCTGGCACAGCTTTGGTGACAGGTAAAGATGAATGGCTTCTGTGTAGCTTTGGAGAAACCCTGTCTTGAAAAACAAAAAACAAAACAAAGAAACAAAAATGAATGGTTTCTATTCCAATTAATAAATTGACTGAAACAGATCTCATTATATAGTCAAGGCTGATCGCCGACTTTTGGAGATCCCCTTACCATTAGCATGCTAGTATTACAGGTATGAGTCACTGTGTCCAGCAATGGTTCTTAATATGTTCAGAGTTGTGCATGAGCCACACAGTCTTAAAACATTTTGATCATCTTATAAAGAAACCCTGTGCTCTTCATGGTACATATTACCATTTACAAGCTTCCGTGTGTGTGTGTGTGTGTGTGTGTGTGTGTGTGTGTGTGTGTGTGTGTGTGTTTTCATTTTTTATAGTATGTCTGAATTACCACCCATGTAATAGCTAATAGCATGCACCAATACTTCCCCTTTATATTGATATGTGGCATTTTGCTTTTAGTCATTAGCTAATGACCATTCCATTGTTTCCAGCTCTGGGCAACTGTGAATGATATTGTTGTGTTTTGCTTTTTTAATGAAGCTGAGTTGGGGTTTGATACAGACATGCTAATAGATAACCACAAAAGTGAAGGGAGAGAGAGGTGCTCAGAAGGAAGTGAAACATACCAGAAATGTGGGTGTGGGCTTCTCAAAGAAAGGTTGTTTCATGTGCAAGTTTGTATGAGAACAAACAAACATCTTCATTTTGTGGATGCCTGTAGTGGAGTTGCTGGGACATGTGGAACCCTGTATTTAACCTTGGGAGAGTCTACCTGACTTATTTCCTAAGAGGCCGAATAATTAGTTTATGTTCTGTCCAGCAGTGCTGAGCAATTTTTGTGTTGCTTGTTTTTTTTTTTTTTTTTTTTTTTTTTTTTTTGAGGGGGGATCAGGAATTCAAGAAGTTTGAGTTCTGGGCTACATAGATCTCTGCCTCCCATGTGCTGGGATCACGGGGATGTGCTGGGGTCACAGGGATGGACCACCCTGCCTGGCAGAAGCCAGGTCTGGTGCTGTGGTTGAACCCAGGGTCTTGTGAATATAAGCAAGTATGACACCTCTGAAGTGCAACCCCAGCTCCAAGAGTCTTAATTTGTCTGAATAGTCTCCAGTGTGTGTGTGTGTGTGTGTGTGTGTGTGTGTGTGTTTGACCAGTTACTTTGTTGGTTGTAAGATGGGATCTCATTGTGTTTTAATTAATTAATTTAAATTTTTTGATGCCTAATTATGAACATCTTTTTATGTGCTTATCCATTTGTGTGTCTTTTTTTCTTTCAGAAGTGTCTGTTTGGACACTTTTTTTTTTTGTTAGTGAATTGCAACTTCCCTCCCTCCCTCCCTCCCTCCTTCCTTTCCTTCCTCCCTCCTTCCCTCCCTCCCTCCCTCCCTCCCTCCCTCCTTTCTTCCGTCTCTCTTTCCCTCCTCTCCTCCCTCTGTCCCTCCTTCCCTCCCTCCCTCCCTCCCTCCCTCCCTCCCTCCTTCCCTCCCTCCCTCCCTCCTTTCCTCCGTCTCTCTTTCCCTCCTCTCCTCCCTCTGTCCCTCCATCCCTCCCTCCCTCTCTCCCTCCCTGAGCTGGTTTCCAGGACTGAGTAAACAGGGAGAGGAAGCCAGCAGTACCGGTAGCCCCCGCTTCCTGATCTGTGCATGTGGGGGTCCCAGTCACTTGTCCCTGCTGTCAGGCCTTCCCTGCCACGATGGACTGCACCCTCTAGAACCTCCTTCCCGTAAGCTGCCCCCACTTGGTCACACCAGTGAGAAAAGTTCTTAACATAATCAGAGGCTCCGCGAATGTGGCTACTTAAAAAGAAACCGACAACCACTTTTGTTTTTCTTTTAAGTGTGGATTGAGATTTCCTTCCAGAGTGCCAGAATGCTAAAACATCTTTCCCCTCTAACAAAACAACCCTCTGACTGGAGAAAACGATATACACCAGGCAACATTTTCAGAAATCATCTCAAGGAGATACAGCAAATGGAGAATCATCCTGGCAAGGACATTTTCTAAATCTCAACAAGGCTCAGTAGGAGTCTGTGGCATATGAGCCATTGCTTGCTCCCTCTACCGCACCCCCAGTTCTGGAGAGTGATATTCTTCTATACCAAGTTCTCTACTTGGGGTAGGAGTGGTCAAGGGGGCCCTTGCCACCGCGTTTCCCACAGGGCTATAGTTTCATCCCTGGGAAGGGCAAGCCAACTAAAAACACTTCACACCTTCCCCCTCCCCATCACTGAGATGCAAGTCCTCTACCTATGGAGGTGGCTGAAGCCACCCTGGACTCCCACCCTCCTCAGCTCCACCTCATCCTCTATCTACTGACACCCTCCACCTCACGGTAGGGTTTCTGACAGTAGAGTGTCAACTCCACTTGCCTCAGACCAAGAGTGCTGGTTCTAGCTGTCCCTTCCCCAGTTCGCTTACACAGAGGAAGCGCTATATTAGAATGCTGTAGTCAGGAAACCCAGGGGCTGCTGCCTCCTTCCTACCAACCTTCCTGTGCTTTGTGTCTGCCTGCAGAACAGCAGACCACTGGCTCAGGGCAAGTGAGCTGATATCTGTACCCTTAGCCCCTGAGGACCAATGCAGAAGCTCTGTCCAGGATGAAATTCGGGGTGAAAACCTTCCCTGCTCTTTTTAAGGGACTGGCCTTATTTGGAACAGTTTTTAAGTTGGGGTCTCACTATGTAGCTCTGTCCTGGAACTGACAGAGAGCCACTTGACTTTGCTTCCCTAGGGCTGGGATTAAAAGTGTGCGCCACACTCCCCGCTAACCATGCATTCTTGGAGAATATTTAAGAGGAAGCTCACAGCTCGTGTTATAGTGACCTGCGTGAGGGTGGAACATTCAGAAATCTAACAGAAGCTGGGAAGACACAGCCAAAAAGAGCCTCCTGGGGTCACACTCCCGCCTGTGGACTAACCCTACCTGTGTGCTAGCACTGGGCTGGACCCACACGAAGAATCAGATGAGCATGAGAAAGACTGACAGCCATTCCTCAGCCTGCACACAGATCCATCCAAGTGAAACTGAAGCCTGCTTTCACTCAGGCCATTATCCCAGCTTCCGAATAGTGTCAACAGTAAGCCACTCTGGTCCAGGTCAATTCTAGGATGTCAGGCTTCAAAAGAGAAGTCATATGTCATAATTCCTTTAGATTGTGCCTTTAAAATCTTTATACTCACCCCTCCAACTTCTTCCACATTCCCAATTTGCTTTGGAGATTCTAATTAAAGTCGTGTATCACCTAATGATAGGCTGAGTTTGGGGGAATGTGACATTAAGTCATTTTTGCCATAGTACAAACATTATAGAGTGTGTTTACACAACTAAGACAGCCGAGACATCATTGGGCAACATAATGTTATAGGAATCATGTCTGTATATGTGGTCTGTCATAGACTGAAACACTTTCATGTGGCATATCATTTTATATAAAAGAAATGAAAGTATGCTAGTAAAGAAGCTTGTTCAAGGGCTGGACAGATGGCTCAGCAGTAAAGAGTACATGTTGCTCTTGCAAAGGACCCAGGTTTTGTTCTCAGACCTATACTGAGGCTCGTTTGTAACTCCATTTCCAGAGGATCTGATGCCATCTTCTGGCCTCCACGGGTACTACGTGCATATGGTGCACATACATATATGTAGGCAAACATCCATACACATAAAATACAAATAAATAATTTAAAAAAGAAGCTTGCTTAAGAATGTTCCTCTAATTACTGTTCATAATTGCCCCCAAAGCAAAAATACCCTGAATATCTTTGATATCTATGTTCTGGCAAATGGATAAGCAGTATATGCTAGATCTCTTCAATGCAATGTTATTGACCACAATAGGAAAGCTATTGGTACCTGCTGCAGCACTGATGACAATGTTATGCTCAGGAGAACACATAACTTGTTTTTACTTACACGAAAGCGCCAGGGCAGGTAAGTCTATAAAAACAGAAATTCAATCAGTGTATGCCTATGGCTGAGGGGACATGGACAGGTGGGTTGGGGAGAAATAGCAAATAGCTGCTAATATTGTAGGCTTTCTTTATACATGATAAAACTTTCTAAAATGAGAGGCTGGGGAGATGGCGTGGTGAGTGAAGTGCTTGCTTCACAAAGTCCGGGTTCAGAGCCCTGGGCTCAGAGCTCTAGCACATGTTACCCAGTGCTGGCAGCAGGTGGGTGTAGATGGAATTTCCATGGCCATCCAGCTTGTAAAGATTCATGTTTAGTGAGAATTTCCATACTAACAAAATAAGGTTGAAAGCAATTGAGGAAGGCACTTGACATTGACCTCTGACCTACACATACATCCCCTCTCCCCTAAAATTAATGCTAACCATTACTCCACTCTGTGACTGACAAAGTTAGGGGACTACGTGCTTTTAAACAGGTGAATTCTATTGCATGTAAATTATTTCTCAATAATTATGTTTGTTTTTTTTTTTTTTTTTGGTTTTTCAAGACAGGGTTTCTCTGTGTAGCTTTGCACCTTTCCTGGAACTCACTTGGTAGCCCAGGCTGGCCTCGAACTCACAGAGATCCGCCTGCCTCTGCCTCCCGAGTGCTGGGATTAAAGGCGCACGCCACCACCGCCCGGCGATAATTATGTTTTTAAAATGAGGGCTTGGTCAATAGATACAAAGTCATAGTTGCACAGATGACTGAATTCTAGGCATCTGCTGGACAACATGTCTGTAGATGAACGTAAAGGAGATGTGTTGCCTCCGTGTAAGCAGAAAAATTTTGGACAAATAGATAAAACAAAAAAAAAACAAAAACCTTTTAGCTTCTTGGACAAAGACTTGAGATTTTCCTTCACCCGTTCAGTTTGAGGTTTAGTGAGTTGATAAATAGAATATCATAGACACTGAAGAGGAAGACTGGACAGCATGTTTAAATAATTAAAGAATACTGTGTTACAAAGAATGATGTCTTACAGGTGTCTTCAGAAGACATATCCTGCTCAGCTCCCATCCCTCAGTGTCATCCTCATCTTCCTGAATGAAGCTCTGTCCGTCATCCAGAGAGCTATCACCAGCATCATCAACCAGACCCCTCCTCGGTTGCTGAAGGAGATCATCCTGGTGGATGACTTTAGCTCCCATGGTGAGGAGCCTGAGGGAAGGATAAGCAAGCACGATTACCATTGGTCATCTGAGCTTGGCAGGAAAGAGGTTGTCCCTTGGACGTTTGGGACATGGTGAGCGTCTCCCAGAGGGGAAAGTAAAGGATAATTTGGGGAGGGTCTCTGTGTGCTGGACACATTTAAATTTCACGATGCCAGGAGTACAGTTCATCATCTCAAATGCACAAGTAAGACACAGGAAAAACACAGGGTGTCACAACCGTGTGGCCTGCCAGTGTGGATTTGGAGTCGGGCGCAGAACCATGTGACTCCAAAATTACCTATGCCCTAAGTGTACACCATGGTGGAGACCTGAGGGTTGAGGTGCATGAGACCCCAAGCAGGCCCTCAGACCCCAAGAAGGGATTCATAACCTCCCCTTATACCACAAGAACCAAATTTATCAGGTAAGGAATCCTGGAGGAGAGAAAGCTCAGTGGCAGCAAATTTTGTCACCTGGCCACCCAGCCCCAGGTCTAGCCTACCTAAGTAGGATACATGGGGAAGAGGCAGATTGTAGACTTTCTTTTTCTCTTTCTTCCTTCCTTCCTTCTTTCTTTCTTTTTTTCTTTTTAGACATGGCTTCATGTAACTTAGGTTGGTCTAAAGCTCACTACACAGTCAAGGGTGACGTTGGTTACACTGTTTTCCCTCTCAAGTGCTGGGATGACAGACATATGCCACTATATTGAGTTCATGCAATACTGCGGATAAAGTCTGGTTTCCTACATCTTAGGCAGCCATGAAGGTGTGTAGCTTAGGTTGTGTTGCTGCCCTGTCCTTTCTCTCCAGTTTTGCTACTGCAGTGCATCTGAGTCTTTGCCTTCTAAATTTATAACCCTGGCTCCCTCCCCTAAGAGATAGACCCTTAAGAATTGTAGCATCTCCATGATTTGCTCTCTTTGTGTGCAAAATGTGGTTGTTTATCAGAACCATCTTAAGAAGGATAGCTAACATGATTTTTCTTAGTTCTACCACTTTTGGACATTGAATAAAAAGAAACTAGAATGAAATTATAGAATCAGAGATTTGGGCTAATGATAAGGAAGGATTTTCAAACCGTGTGGCCTTAGGAAGTAGTAGACATTTGTTCTCTCACTGGGCATCTTTAAGGATGAGAGAGATGAGAAGAATTATCGAGTCTGAAGGTCATTGCAAGGAGAGAAAGAGAGGAGGTGAGGCTGAAAAACTCGGCCTCTGAAAAAATACTACTCTTCATTTACACAGATCCCCATTCTACCAGTGTAATTAATTCAATGAGAAGGGAGAAGATAAAATTGATAGAGCAGAATTTCACTGGAAATCATGAATGAGAACTAGTTTCATTCGTTTCTGGTCATGGAGATGGGTACCAACTTGTAGTCTGGTTCTGATGGTAAGAAAAAGGAGATCTAGACATGTATCCTGGACAGCTGAAGGCCAGGACCCACTTGGTGCTGTCTGAGGTGACCTTAGACAAAACCTCTCACTATCTCTGGGATTCAGCTTCTTCCTGGAACTGATGCAGGGGTCGAGAAGGAAGACCTCAAAAGATCCACCCTCTTTCCACGAATACAACAATTCTATAATCCCATGCTCCATGGTGGGAAGATAAGACTTAATTCAAGACTTTCTGTAGTGGGACAGTAGCATTGAGAGTACAAACAAGATCACTTAGGAAGGCAGATTCATGAAGAAAAACCAGACAAAGCTTCCTGTTATCCTAACTGCCACCATCATGGGACACATCATTCTCTCTTGGGCCTGGAATCAAATTACATTTTTGTTAACTTATCCTATTTATTGTTATGGTGTGAGGGGGTATGGGCATGCACATGCCACTGTGCACGTGTAGCAGGAATGTTACAAAATGGGGCCAGAGCCTGCAAGACGGCTCAGCAGACAAAGTGGCTTGCTTCCAGACTGGATAACCTGACTTAATTCCCCAGGAACTACACAGTAGAAGGAATGAACTGGTTTTGTGGGATGTTCCCTGTCTCCCACATGTGTGCGGTGGTGTGTGTGCAACCCCACTACAGAATAAATAGGCAAATAAAGAAAGAAAAGATAAATGAAAACTAAGACCAGGCTGATTTTAGTGCCATAGCCATGTAAGTGTTGATTTTAGGAGCTGGCTACCCGAGACTTCACAAATATATTCATCTTTTGAGAGAGGAACCAACAAGAATTCCATCCCTTGGATGTAAGGAGAGAGGAGGTGCTGGTGGTGGGGGTGGGGAGCTTAATGAAATCAGGCAACTGTGCACGTGGTTCTTGAGCCAGTGTGTGGTTAAAGACAGCACAGCTGTGCCACTAAATGGATGTGTGATTTGGAAAGTTTCTTCTCTTCCCATGCCTAAGTTTCCCTTCATCTGTAAAGTGGGAATATGTTAGTGCTATCATTCACAGGGTTCTATAAATGATTACATGAATTAATATTATCAGTGATGCCTGTAGTACCAGCCCTTAGGAGGCTAAGGAAGGAGTATTACTTTGAGTCTGAGGCTAGTCTAGATTACAGAGTAAGATTGTCTCAAAAACCAACTAAGCCAAAAAAAGTATGTCACCAGTGGATAACTGGGTCATTTGATTAGCTATTTTGCATACTACTGAGTGATTTGCATAAAAGCTGAAGCTGCTTTCAAATATGCAAAGAAGGCAACTGGTAGCCTGAGTTAACAAAGGCAGAGACAGGCTTTACAGAAAGAGAGGGGATGGGGGAAGGAAAAAAACCACTGTAAACAGTCTGCGAAGAGTGAGTCTTGCTTGCATAATATTGAGAATAAACTCCTCAGCTAGATTCAGCTAGATGCTGGCATAGATCAGTCTGAGCATTTGTACCCATTGTGACGTAATCAGAACAGACAGGGATGTCTAAAACAAAGCAAAGCTGCTTATTCGGGTTCTCTAGGAAGCCTTGCAGTTAAGCTGTGGTGGTTCCCCAGGTTGTCTCTGCAAACTGTCCACAAGTGCTACAACTTTAAGTACCTGCCCTGTTTCTTTGCCTACGAGTTTCTGGGTATGTAAGATGTACTTTTGACCAGTGTTTCACATCTCCTAAGCAGGGAGATTCAAGGGCAGGGAAAGGAAATGAGGAATGGTAATTGTCTGGAGGGAAAATGCTCGGCAAATGTTATCTACATCCTCAGCCAAGGCTCTGGAGTTGCTCACCTTACAGTAGCATCCCCCACACGCTATTACAGGACAATGTATAATTTCCACATCACATTCGTTTTTTTCACTCAGTGTCTCTATGTGTCTGGTTGGTAGGAGAACTGAAGGGAAGATTGGATGAGGCGATTATGCTTTACAACCAGAGCTTTCCAGTCCTACTGAAACTTATAAGGCACACAAAGAGAAGAGGTCTTGCTCAAGCCCGCAACACTGGCCTGGAAGCTGCTACAGCTGATGTGGTTGCCATCTTGGATGCTCACATTGAAGTGAACGTTGGATGGTAAGGTTCTGGAAGGCTGCTGCTTTCAGGAAAAGACAGAACTAAGTTATTGTATATGGCAAGTCAGGATGGTGTTGAGACAGGAAATACTGACACCAGTCCTTGAACAAAGGGAGGTTGTAAAGCTTTCATTCAGGGAGTCTTGTTGGACACAAGAAATAGTGTAAGCCTGGTGTGACACATGCCCATAATCTCTTGATTGGAATATAGAGGCAGGAGGGTCACAAAGTCAAGGCTAGTCTGGGCCACACTGCATGCGTGCACGAGAGAGGTGGGTGTGTGTTGTTTTTTCCATCAGCTTAGTGACTACCCCCGAATCTACTGATATTTTAACTACCATCTTCATTCCCCCCATCCCCTACCCCCATAGTCGGTGTTCCTCAACTGCCACCAATTATAGTTTTTAACTAAGTCTCTTTCGTTCTATTTACCAATAAAGGCTGGGGAGTCAGATGTTGGGGTAAAAACCTGCTAGCTCAGAGAGGCTGAGGAGCAACCAGCTGAACTTTTTTTTTGGCTGGAGACCCAGCAAGAGAAGCATCTCTCCAGCTGTCCCAAACCAAAAAGATCACCAAACTCCAAGTCCCTCCCTCCTCCTTCCTGTGCATCTCTCTATCTGTCTTTCTGGCTCCTCCAGACTCTCTATGGCTAATTCCTGTCAACTAGTTGCTGGCTCTGCCCTCTGAGCCAAGGTTGATTTTATTAACATGGTCTTGGGGTTCACAGTGTAATCAAATATCTTGCAACAGGTAGGGGCTTAAAATATTGACAGTCAGACCCTGACTTTGCTGAATATTTTGTGACTTTGAATAGCCACTTAACTAGACATTTGTATATTTATCTTTAAAACGTAGAATGTAAGCACTGACAATTCCTCTTGTTTTCCTAGTTCTTAAATGACATGAAATAAAGATTACATGAACAATGTGGACAATCACACAGGAGACAGACACCATTTGGAAACAGAAATAATGCAAACTTAGATAGTTACAGTCCTCATTCACAGTGGCCTGGGTGTGACAGCTGGACACTAATTCCAAATCTGCTCTTGGCCTGGCTCAGCTGCTAGGAGCCCCAGCTATCCAGAACCTAGGAAATTCTCCAGACACTAGAGAGTCCTTTCTAGTTTCCACCCAACTGAAATAACAATGCCTTCCATGTGAGGGCGAGGTTCACAGTGTCTGTCTGCTGCAGCCCAGTGCTGACCCACGTAGCCACACGTCTGCTCTCACTGTACTCTCTTCTAGGGCTGAGCCCATTTTGTCTCGGATTCAGGAAGACCACACTGTGGTCGTGTCTCCTGTGTTTGACAACATTGATTTCAATACCTTCGAACTGGAAAAGCAGGAACTGGCAGTGGACGGGTTTGACTGGCAGCTGTGGTGCCAGTATGATCATGTACCACACGCCTGGCTTCAGCTGGATGATGTCACTGCTCCAATGACGTAAGCATGCGTGTGCTGAGGGAACTTAATCAGAATGAGCTGTGCAGGACTGGTCTGCCTCTGATGACTGTAATGGAGGCGGGGTGGAGGAGCAGGTAAGGGATAAGAGAAACACGTAACAGGGATAACAATAATAAAGAACCTAAAGGCCTGAGCCCAGAATAGAAATCATAGACATTTGGCATTATCTAGGTTTTCGGACAAAAATCAAATTTTTAGCGTTTTAAAAAGTACTTGAGGCAACTTCTAGCATTACCAGACTATGAAGAAAGATGACATTCCAGTATCATTTGGGAAGGGTGGTGATGGTACAGTGAGCACACTTTCAGTCTAGCCTTATCATTTCAGAAAGCCTTCAGGATAAGAAAAGACTTAGGCAGAATTCTGAATACCATTGTGGGCCTTCCCAGCCCTCCCCTCTATGCTGACCTGTTTCTTGAAGGGGGATTAGTAACCTTCTTACCACGTACTTTGCAGAAGTCCTTCCATCATGGGTATCCTGGCCGCCAACAGGATCTTCTTGACAGAGATCGGAGCTCTGGATGGTGGGATGCTCGTCTATGGAGGAGAGAATGTGGAACTTAGCCTAAGGGTATGTACTTGCTCTCTTCTCTAAGGGACGAAGCAGAGGGGGATTATTGGAAAGTCATAGGAATTCTGGAATCCTAGAACTCAGCTGAATGATTGCTCAAGAGATGGATAGATTGTTGCATTTCCAGGTCTCTAGACTGAAGAGCAAGTGGTAGGCAATGGGACTGTGGAGCAGAACTTTCTGGTATAGGCCTATATCATGTAATCTGAGAGTTTTGGTGGTCAGTGGTAGAGTTGAGGCTGTGAAGATGTTCCTTTTTCTCCAGAGGATTCCAGGAATTTTTAATTTCTGGAGTACACCTTCTTTAGGGGAGAAAAGTCCAAAGACTTGCTGGACAAGCCTTCTACCACTGAGGTACAGTCCAAGCTCCTTTAGTTTTGAGCAAGGTCTTTCCCAGTTGCCTAGGCTGGCTTTGAAGTTGCCATTCTTCTCTGCCTGAGCTTCCCAAATCAGACTCGCCAGCAGGAATTTTAAGGTTGAATTCTGTTTTTAAAGTAAGAAGGCTTTACTTGTTTGTTTTGTTTTTCAAGACAGGGTTTCTCTGTGTAGCCCTGGCTGTCCAGGAACTCACTCTGTAGACCAGGCTGGCCTCAAACTCAGAGATCTGCCTGCCTCTGTCTCCTGAGTGCTGGGATTAGAGGCATGTACCACTACCACCTGGCTCAATAAGATGGCTTTTTAAAAAAGGCTTTTATTATATCTATTCATTTCTCTCCCTCCTCTCTCTCTCTCTCTCTCTCTCTCTCTCTCTCTCTCTCTCTCTCTCTCTCTCCTCTCTCTCTCTCTCTGTCGCTCTTGGTGTCTGTCTGTCTATCTGTTATACAATCATGGGAAAGTTTATAAACTCTGAAGGAGTAGATTTCAACAAACATTTTTGTTTCCTGCTTTAACGAGACTCATTTCGTGTGGTACCCCGGGGTCCGGTAAGCTAGCTTAGCTCAGTGGATGAGCCTCAGGCTCAGGGAGAGACCCTAGAGAGACTCCCAGGGAGGGTCACCTTGGATCTCCACATGTATACACATCTATACAAACATATGTGTACACACAAACAACCCTTATAAACACATTTTAATTAAAAATAAATGAACTAACAAATAAATAAATAAGTTGGAATAGCCAAGTTTAAAATTGTTCAGCAAGAACAATTGAAAAAATATATTATTTTATAAACAATCTTTATTTTTAGCATGAATAAAAGGCTCTTGTGCGAACTGTTACATTTTTTCATTTCCTAAATTTACATAAGTTGGAAAATCCCATCAACTGTAAAAACTGAAATAAAAGCTGAATTTTCTGTTTTGTTTTGTTTTGAACAGGGTCTTACTTTTTGTCCAAGCTGGCCTTGAGCTTGTGGTGATCTCCTACCTCAGCCTCCCTTGTACTGGGATTATAGGCATAGTCCAACAAATTTTACCTTGTGTTTGAATTTTTAAAAAAATTATTTTATGCATATGGGTGTTTTGCCTGTTCTGTGCATCACATGTGTGCAGTACCTCTGGAGGCCAGAAGAGGGCATCAGATCCCCCTGGAGCCATGTGGTGCTTGGAATCTCACCCAGGACATCTGGGATATGAACCAGTTCTCTAGACCACTGAGCCATTTCTCCAGGCCCCAGTGTTTGGATTTGAATTTTTAAATGATTGAGCGGAAAAAACAAAACCAGAAACAAATTGGATTAGGATATGACATCTACCAGATCTGCGCTGATGAAGGGAGACAGAGAAGGACTTGGAGGAAAAGATACCTTTTGTCACCATGTAGTAGGTACTCACTGCCGCACTTGGTATGTCCTTGAGTTCTCCCAACAGCCCAGGTGGTGGCTGCCTCCTCCTTCTGTGCATGAGCAAGCTGAAGCTCGGGGAAGGTGGTGTTTTGTCTAACCAGCCAGATGAGGAGTCAGGATGTGAGCACAGGCCTGCCTGACTCCAAGCCTGACTGTTCAGGAGAGACTCCTCCGTGGGTCAAGAGCTGAAGGGGTAGGAGAGGGGGTCACCAATTTTGAATGTCGTCACTTAATAAGACTAAATCCTCAGGCTTAGTCTTCTATCACTTCTGCTATGTTAGCTGAATTGGCAGGGTGCGGGCCAGCAGCTCTTGGGTCAGGGAAGGGTGCGGGAGGTTGCCAACCTAAATTGGAGCAACTTGCCAGAATTTTGCCAGAAACTGCCACCCCTTGAGGTCACCGTGAAGAAAAGACACAGGAAATATGATAGAGGCCCAGTAGGATGAGAAAATTCTTTTATCCACTGCCACCAAAACCATGTTTTGGGAAGTTGGAGAAATGGGTCTATGGTTAAGAGCATGTGGTATGCTTACGGACAACCAGAGTTTGATTCCCAGCACCCATGGCAGGCAGCTCACAGCAACTTTTAACTCCACCTCCAGGGGATCTGATGTCCTTTTCTAGCTGCTGTGGGTATCTGTATTCACATACACATACCACCACCACCCCAGGCACACACATATCATTTAAACAAGAAAATAAATCTTTAAAAAACTCATGTTTTCAAAGCCAAATATCAGCACATACGATCAGCGAGCGAGCTGGTGCTCCGTCAGGTTGGTTCAGACCCCAAGTCGTGGGAATATGGGGAAGAACTGCGCAAGTTAGTGATGTATCGTTTCAAACCAGGTATATTAGAGCCAGACACATTCTTTCCTTTTTCCTTAAGTACTGAGGACTCATTACTACTGAGCTATTCCCAGACCCCCTTTACTTTCGGCCTTGAGATGTGATCCACTAAATTGCTCAGGCTGGCCTTGAATAGACTCTGTAGTTCAGATAAGCTTTGAATTTCCATTTTCCCTCAGCCTCTATGGTAACTGGAATGACAGACCTGTAGCCTGAAGTTTCTCGGCCCCACCTGATCCTGCCTGGGCAGCATCCGTTTTTATAAAATAATCACTCAGAAGCTTAATATTAATAAAAACTGTTTGGTCTATGGCTCAGACTTCTTGCTAGCTAGCTCTTTCATCTTAAATTAACCCATGTCTATTAATCTATGTATTGCCATGTGGCTGTGTTGTTACAGGTCTGTTGGCATGTTGCTCCTTGAGCAGGGGCCTGGCATCTGCTCAACTCTGCCTTTCTTCTCCCTCCTGGCTATAACCTGTCTTGCCACAGACCAGAGCAGCTTCTTTATTAACCAATGGTAGCAACACATAGTCACAGCATACAGAAAGACCATCCTACAGCACTTCCCCTTTTCTGTCTGATCAACAAGGAAAGTTTTCATTTTAACATAGTAAAATTACATATAACAAAACAGTTATCAAGCAAGAATTAGTTATAATATCTAGTCTATTTGTATTTAGCAAAATTAAAGAAAATATTCTATCATCTATCCTATCTTCGTGAGTCTAAAGTTTTATATCAAATTTATCTTTTATCATTAATAAGGAGAACTATAATTATAATTATCTAGTCTTCTGTATGCTATGAATATGTGTTGCTAACATTGGTTAATAAATAAAGCTCCTTGGGCCTATGGCAGAGCAGAATATAGCTAGGTGGGAAAACCAAACTGAATACAGGGAGAAAGAAGGATGGAGTTAAGGGGAGATGCCAGCCTGCTGCCCAAGGAGCAACATGCCTGCAGACCTGTAATGCCACGGCCATTGAGTGGTTATTTTCTAAAAACAGCTGTTGCCTGGGCAGGCAGGACGAAGAAACTTCAGTCTACACAGACCTGAGCCAAGAAGTCCTGAAGGTCTTTCACTGTGTCTCTCCTCCCCTTGTCCCTCCCCCACCCCACTTTCCTTTCTTCTCTTCTCATGTTTTTCCCCCTCTAGACAGGGTCTCACTTTGTGGCCTTGGTTGGCTTACAGCTTGCTGTGTAGACCAGTCAGGGTGTTCTAGAACATACAATACTCCTGCTTCTGTCTGCCGAGGGCTGAGCTTATAGGTGCGCATCACCACATCTAGCAAGATATGCTTATAAACTCATCGCGTCTGTGATCAGGGGTCTATGCAAGGCTGGAAACCAATACTCAGTCAGGAGCGGGCTCTCACTTAGGCTGAACTGGGAAAGGACTTGCCTTTAAGGTCACAGGTCATTGATAGTGTTCAATACCAACAGAGGCAACATTTGGTGTTTCTTTGTTTTGTTTTTTCTTTGCTTGTTTGTTTTGTTTTTCCTGCTGGCACTTGGAAGCCACTCTTAGTTTCTGGTCATGTGACCCTCCCTGTTTGGTAGCTTACCCCACAGTGGCTTGCTTCTTCAAAGCTAACAGAAGATTCTGTCTTCTAGCAAGCTGGGCATTGCTGTCTTTTATCACACAACGACACACAGATGCAAAAGCGCCCTGTTGTCCCGGCCATGGTTTGTTGGTGGGAAGGTGGCAGGCCCATACTCAAGAAAAAAGGGTTGGGCGAGGGTGCTGACCCCAGGAGGAAGGACCAAGGAGGCTACCAGCATCCGCCCACCTTACAGATGTGTATCTGGCATGCTAGTAGAAAAGGATTATGGGAAGCTGGCTAACGATGGAGGCTCCTGACAAGGTGTCTCAGGTGTCTTGGGCTTCCTTGCTCTGAGTAACAGAGGCAGTCCCTTCTCTGAGCCTCTCAGGAGGACTTCCGGAAGGAGGTTGGATTGACAGAGCTGTCTGACACTGGGAGAGAAGCAGTCTGACAGGCGAGGTCGATTTATATAAGAAGTTTGGGAGGTGCCATAGTGGTGGGAGTGGGAAGATTAGGGTTTCCAAGCTGATTGTGGTGGCTCGTGTTCCTAATCCCAGCACTTAAGGAACTAAGGCAGGAAGACTGCCGTGAGGCCAGTTTGGGCTGAGTAGGCCAACTTGAGCTACAGGGTGAGACCCTGTCTCAAAAGGGGAGGGTCTTTCTGGGCGGTGATGGCACACACCTTTAATCCCAGCACTTGGGAAGCAGAGGCAGGAGGATCTCTGTGAGTTCAAGGCCAGCCTGGTCTACAAAGAGAGTTCCAGGATAGCCAGAGCTGTTACACAGAGAAACTCTGTCTTGAAAAGCCAAAAAGAAAGAAGGGTCTTTGCCAGTTCATTGGCTGTAAGGCTGTGGTATTGAGGGAAGGTGGCATTGTCCCTCTCCTGCAGGTGTGGCAGTGTGGAGGGAAGATTGAGATCTTACCCTGCTCCCGGATCGCTCACCTAGGGAGATACTACAAGCCCTATGCCATGAACCTAGATATTCCCTTGCGGCGGAATGCTCTGCGGGTGGCTGAAACCTGGATGGACAAGCACAAATACATGGTCTACTTGGCCTGGAACATTCCTCTCAAGGTTGGTCATGGATTGAATAGAAGGGAAAAGGAAGGAAGAGGAGGTAGCAGTGATGGTGGAGAATGAGAAACTGTGGGACAAACACAACATCCTGGGCTCGATGGATTAAGGTATGGTCCCCAGTGTGACAGTAGTTCCCAGTTGTGTGTATATAGTATAGCACTGTGTCCAGATAATGTTTGATGTACCCATTTTTCTCCTTTGGGGTTTTTTTTTTTTTTAAATGGCATCTTCACGGTATCTCAGGCTCGTTTAGAGCTCATGGCAATCCTGCCTCAGTTTCTTCAGTGTGGAGAAATAGAGGTCTGAGGCAGTATACTGGCTCATAGGTGAATTCTTTCACCATCAGAGTGCACCTACAGGGTAGTTTTATGGATGAGGAAGCAGGCACAAAACGAGTTGGAAAGAAATTGTTGAAGATAACACTGGTGCAGATAGTGAGGAGCAGAGACAAAACTCCAACATGTCTGCCTTCCAGACCCCATGTCCTTCATTTCACGCCGAGCGGGGTGGAACACAGGGCCTTTTTGTCCTCCATCCTCTTCTACAACAGAGACTTATGTACCCTGGATGGCTTTGAACTTGTTCTGTAGCTGAGGATGACCCTGGGTTTCTGACCCCCCCCCCCCACCTCCACTTCCTAAGGGCTGGGATTATAAGCGTGTGCCACCATACTTGGTTTCATGCAGTGCTGGGGATCAAACCCAGGGCTTCATGCATTCTAGACAAGCATTCTACCAACAGAGCAACATACCCAGGCCAGGCATTCATTCTCTTAAGAGGGTGCAGATAGGGCAGGCGGCATGGATGAATGGAGGAGGTACTGTAGCATTCCTGGATTCACATGAATGGGGGTACTTTGAACTGAGCCCACTTTCCCCAGGCTGCTGTGCTGTCTCCTCTCCCTGACCTCTGGATCCTGTTCGTTGAGGCATGCTTGACTCACAGAGACCAGTCACCTCACTGACAAACTCCTCTTCCATCACAGAATACGTTCAGGGAGTCGCCAGAGAGCAGGGGAGTCTGGGCAGTGATAGGCTGTGGAATGCCCTAGAAGGAAAAGCCCAGAGATCAGGATGGAGGTGGGACTCAGGAACCAGTAGATCAGGAGAAGATAAAAATGAGCAGAAATTCCTGAGCCTCCTTCCGAGGTCAAAGTCATGAAAGTGGTTCCAGCAGGCTCCTGCAGTGAGCTCCCTGTTGGGAGAGAAAGTCTTCTGATATTCAGGGTAGCCGGCGGCATGGTGGGCAAATGAGCAGCCCCTCCATCATCCTTAGTGTTCTATCTCAGCAGTGTTGTAGTGTCATAAAGGAAGCCATAAAGGAAGTTCCCTAAACCAATGAACTAAGTACCATCAGAAACGGACCTTACAAGAATTCTGGGAAGATGGTAGATACACAGTTTCTGCCTTTCCTTCTCTACCTGCCTCCCTTAGTCTTCCTTCACAGTGGTTCTTCACAAGCACCACTTCCACAAGGCTCCCTCACAGTCCGAATCTTGGTACCAGAAGTTTTGTTTAAGCATTTTCTGGCCATTGTATTTTATGTCCTTTTGATTCCAGTGGCATCTCAAAACGGGAGAAATCAGTCATGAGAAATAAGCTTGAGTGGCCCCCCCACAGGATCTGTCAGGATAAAAAGCCAGCCAGGGTGCCCAGGGCTCCAGGCTTCTGCTTTCCCTCTGTCAATAAAAGAGATCAAAGTCATCATCTCTGAGTTCTAAGAAAAGAGCCAATGCCCACACAGTCCACAGGAACCGATGGAGTCAAGGGTGTTTTCAAGTCTAATGAACACATAGCACCCGTATTTTCTCTTCAGAATTCTGGAATCGACTATGGAGACATTTCTTCCAGAAAGGCACTCCAGGAGAAACTGAAATGCAAATCCTTTGACTGGTACCTGAAAAATATCTACCCACTCCTGAAGCCAGTCTCCAACATCGTCTGCTATGGAAGAGTATGTATTGGAAATCTACAGCTCAGATTTGAACGGTTTCATTGTAAAAAGTCAAGGCTAGAAACCCAAAGCAGTCAAGGAGTTATCCTGAATCTATTCTGCCCAAGCCCCCTCCAACTGCTTCTCTTTCTTCTTGCTCCTGAGAGGCTTCCTTTCTTCTCATTCTTTTTCTCCTCCACCTCTGCATCCTTTGCTTGACCCCCCTTAGCTCCCCATCCCACGTTTGACTTCACTCCTCTGAACTGGGCAGGAACAGATTGCCCTCTGCTGGTAGTGTTTTCTGTCATCCTGTGGTATAACCAGAACCCAAACCAAAAAATACGGGGCCTGAGGTGTCTTCTTTCTATGATTCTTTCCAACAGTGTGGTTGTGTTTTCTCCTTTAGATTAAAAATTCACTGGATGAAAGTGTTTGCCTGGACCGAGGACCTGTTCCAGGAAACTCTCCCAAAATGAAACCTTGCCGTGAACTCAGTGAACAGGTATTTCCCGCTGGTATCCCTGCCAAGGTAGTAGGTCTGTACTGGCTCAGAGAACCTGTGCCACAAGTTAGCGGTTCCTTACTGTTAGAGGATGGGGAAGGCAGGAGATGAGCATTCTGGGTAATATGTAAGCATGTACTGTTCAAAAAGTACAGTAGTGACAGGCAGGCCCACAGGGGCAGGGAGAACAGGCAGGAGGGCTCTAGGGATAACATTCATTCTCCAGGTGACAGTTTTATTGGCAGCCTACCCCCGTCACTTCTTACCATCTAAACTTGTGGCTCTGCTATTCATTCTGATGTGTGTCTTGGAAATTGGACAAACAAGCCCATCTACACTCCTGCGGAAGGAAGCTGGCTAAAGAAGAGAGGGAGAAGGGGGATCCCTGTGCTGGTTGGGATAGATATGATGGCGCCAAGTGGAGGGTGTTTTTAGGGAACTTTGTTATTGAGACTACAGACATATATTATCTTACTTTGCTTTTAAAATGTATTTAAAGATACATTTACTTTATGTGTATGAATGTTTTGCCTAGATACATGTAGGTGCATTGTGTGAGTGCCTGGTGCCCAGTGCCCACAGAGGTCAGAAGAGGGCATAGGATCCCCTGTAACTAGAGTTACAGACAGTTATGAACCACCATGTGGGTGCTGGGAACTGAACTGAGGTCCTTTACAAGAATATCCAGCAATCCTAACTGCTGAGCCACATCTCCAGCTTTGCCACCCCCAAATCTTGGTTTGCCTGCTGCCATCCACCTCATTCCAAGTGCTGGGTCAACAGGTGCTTGCCAACCCACCCAGTTATGCAGTGCCAGTGATCACACCCAGAGCTTCCTGCATGCTAGTCAGGCACTGTACCTGTGAGCTACATTTTACTTTGTACGTTGTCCTTGCAGAGGTACCCCAGGGGGTACCTGGTAGAGGTAATAGCCACAGAAACTATTGGAAACCTGAGCCACAAAGACTCATCCAAGCTGGTTGAAGGTCTATGTCAGGTTGGGAATTTGAAGGCAAGCTGCTTTCCTGGGATCAGCATCACTTGGGTGACCAACATCACTTGTGCTTCTATTGATAGTGTCTTCACTTCAGTTGAGATCATTCTTCAAAGATAAGTCCCATCCGTCATCCATACCAGCCATGATTCTTTTAGAACCCTGTTCATCAGCTATTCATTGCTGTGGTAGAATACCTGTGATCAACAACTTAGGGTCAAAAGATTTATTTTGTCTCAAGGTTCCAGTCCATGGTTGCATGGCTCCAAGTTGTGGGCCTCTGGTGAGGCAGAACATCATATCAAAGTTGTTAGCAGGGGTACAAGCTTAGGAAGGGTGGGGGAGAGATCAGGGACAAGATGCAATCCTTAGAACATGTTCCTAGTAGCCTCCTCTGACTAGTCCTCCCCCGCAACAATATCATCAAATTAGGAATCCACCGAGGAGATGATGAATCCATTGATTAGCATGCCCAAGACCCAGTCAGCTCTCAGTGATTGGATCCACCAGCTGGTCACCAACCATCCAACCTATGAGCCTCTGGGGGATATGTTATAGCTCATCATAGAGCCCTTGTGGGAAGGAGGGTGGGCTGAGTGTCCCTGTCTGCCCTTCTTGCTAGAATGTGCCAGGGCTAGTGAGAAAGGCAGTGAGACCCATGTCCCAGGATGTTCATGCTCTCCCCGTGCCTAGGTCACCCATCCTCATGTCTTCCCCGAGTTCCTGAAGTTTCTATGGCAGTATCTAGGGAGAAAACTACCACCTTGGAACTGACTGTGACGTCGGGTCTCCTGAACACAGAAGGGTGGTTGAGAAGGAAAAATACTTAAGACTGGTGTGGCTTCAGAGGGCTTGAGCTCAAATCCTATCCTGGGCACTTTTAGAATGTTCTCAACCCTCTCTGTAGCCAGGTTTTCTAGCATACAGTTTAATGGCTGAGGCCTCCCTGCTTGCTGGGCCCAGCATGGTGTCCTTGCTCTCTTGTAGAACGTGTACTACCTCCTTTCTGGAGAATTCTATGTGGGGGAACTAACCAATGAGCAATACTGCCTGGCGGACTCTGGCCGTGGAGAAAAGCCCACATTAGAGCTGTGCTCCGAGGCAGCGAAAAGAGGAACGCACATCTATTGGGACTTTAAGCAGGTGAGTTGCTTGGGGTAGAAAAGGCAGTTATTCAGACACAGCATGAAAGGTTCAGGTGTGGCTGTATCTACAGCACTTTACGGAAATGATTTCTATGATAGTATGTGGGGAGAAAACCACACACACACACACACAAACACACACACACACACACACACACACACACACACACACACACACACACACACACACACACACCAACAAAACCCCTAACAATCATCTCAGGATTTGTTGTGCCACCATCTTCTTGCTGTGTTGCTGCCTCATGGTTGATAGTTTCTGATCCATCTTCTTGCTGTGTTGTTGCCTCATGGTTGATAGTTTCTGATCCATCTTTTTGCTGTGTGTTGTTGCCTCATGGTTGATAGTTTCTGATCCATCAGAGTGGCACTTCACGAAGGTTGCATGGCTGTGATACTTCCTTAAGACAACTGAATATTTTGCATCAATGGTACTGGCTGTGAAGCTGGGTCTCCTGAATACAGAGGAGTGATTAAGAGAAAAAACTACTTCAGATTGCTATGGTTCCAAAGAGTATGGGTTCAACCTGCTCTCGTTACTTTTAGAAAGTTCCCTTCCCTCTCTGTAGCTAGTTTCCCTTATACATAAAATGGAGACAATAAATATCTACTTTATGGGATTAAGTGAGATAGCATGTGACAGGCATTTGGCACATGCCCAACAAACAGGAACATTTGATACATATGAGTCACTGCCTTTAATTTTATTAGTGCCACCATCTTCTTGCTGTGTTGCTGCCTCATGGTTGATAGTTTCTGATCCATCAGAGTGGCACTTCACGAAGGTTGCATGGCTGTGATACTTCCTTAAGACAACTGAATATTTTGCATCAATGGTACTGGCTGTGAAGCTGGGTCTCCTGAATACAGTGGCACTATTGTATCAGACTTTGGAGCACTGGGTGGAAACATGTAAAAGCCCTTCCTTCAGTTGAGTGCACACCTACGATGCTAGCACTCAGGAGGCAGAAGCAGGAGGATCACCAAGAGCTCAAGGCCAGCTTGGTCTACATGGTGAGTTCTATGCCTACACCCTGAGACCCTGCCTCAAAGAACAAACAAAGCTCCTCCTTTGACTTCAGCATCGGATGACCAGAACAGGGTGGAGAGAATTTGCCAGAAGGCCTGTGACAGTAACATGGGGAACCTCACTGACCATAGTCTATGTGTGAAGTTTCTCTATGTGCAGGATGCTTCAAAGGCTTGTGTCTTAGGCCACTTGGGTAAGACCACGTGGGGAAGATACCAACCTGCCTGTGATCATGTCTCTGAACACCTGCCTACTCCATCAGGCTCCGGAGCTACATTTTGAAAAAACATTGACATTTTTTTTTTATTTAGACATTCTTACTCTGTAGCCCAGGCTAGCCCAGAACTCAAGATCCTTTTGTCTCAGTGTCCTGAGAGTTGGAGTTATGTGCATGAACCTCCATGCCCAGCTAGCAAATAACTTTTAAAAACTTATTTGTTTACATTTATTTTATTTTAATTTATTAGTACGTTTTAGCTCATCTGGAGCTGAAGGTCCAAGTGGTTATGAACTGCCCAATAGAGGTGCTGGGGACCAAATTCTGGATTTCTGCAAAGAGCAGCAGGAGCTCTTAATGACTGAGCATCTCTCCAGCTCCACAAATAACTTCTTAAAGCCAAAGTGGTTTTAATTATTTATTTTTTGTATTTATTTATTTACATCCTGGCGGACATTTCCCCTCCCTCCTCTCCTCCCAGTCCCTCTCCCTACCCTCCTCCCCTGACCCCATCCACTCCTCCTCTGTTTCTATTCAGAAAAGGGCAGGCCTCCCATGGATATCAACAAAACATGGCATTTCAAGTTGCAGTAAGACTAAGCACCTCCCCACCTTGTATTAAGGCTGGGCAAGACAACCCAGTATGAGGAATAGGGTCCCAAAACCCAGCAAAAGAGTCAGTGACGGTTCCTGCTCCCAGTGTTAGGAATCCTGCAAGGAGACCAAGCTACACATCCATTACATGTATGCAAAGGGCCTAGGTCAGTCCCGTGCAGGCTTCCTGGTTGTCTGTTTGGTCTCTGTGTGCACCTATGAACTCAGGTTAGTTGTTTCTGTGTGTTTTCTTGTGATGTCCTTGACCCCTCTGGCTCCTACAATCCTTCCTCCTTCTCTTCAGCAGGATTCCCTAGGCTCGGCCAAATGTTTGACTGTGGGTCTCTGCATTTGTTTCTATCAATTGCTGGATGAAGCCTCTCTGATCACTACTGGGCTAGGCACCAATCTATGAGTCTAGCAGAGTACCATTAGGCGTCATTACATTGACACTTTTTCTCCAGTCACGTTTGAGTCTGTCCTGCCTATGAGATGTGCTGGGGTAGGATGATACAGAGATTTTGGGAGTAGCCAACCTATAGCTGGTCTAGCCTGAGACCCATGCCATGAGAGTGAGCCCACCCCTGACACTGCCTGGAGCACCAGGACTCAGAAGCTGGATGGCCCAGAGACCTAGGATAGAACCAAACACGACTGGCTTTGTTTTGTTTTGAAGAATTTACTGTTAGCTATGGAGATCCCTTCAGGGAAAAATATGTGCAAAATAAGTTCAGAGGTTTTGCAGTCTCCCTGAACTATGCAATATTGGTTATGAGGAGGAGGGAGAGGAAGGGAAGGAGGAGGTGTGGGGAAAAAAAGGAGGGTGGTGAGGAGGAACACTCTCAGCTCTAACGACAGTGAGTGGCCAGACTCTCATAAGCCCTATGTGGGCATCGTTCTCCACACTCTCTCCTCACCAGGACCAGAAAGTGTTCCTCAGGGTCCAGGCAGTTTTTCCTTGAGGGAGCCTTCCATGACCCATAAGAGTAGGTTAGTACTTCTGTACTTTCTTAGGGTTCCTTTTTTTTTTTTTTTAAGATTTATTTATTTTATTATGTATACAGTGCTCTACCTGCATGTATGCATGCAGGCCAGAAGAGGGCACCAGATCTCATTATAGGTGGTTATGAGCTGTCATGTGGATGCTGGGAATTGAACTCAGGACCTCTGGAAAAGGAGCCAGTGTTCTTAACCTCTGAGCCATCTCTCCAGCCCCTCTTAGGGTTCCCTTAATCCTTGTCTTATTGTCTCTTAGAATAATGTTTACTTGAACTTTGCTTTTTTGAGACAAAATTTCACTCTGTGGACTTAGGACTTACAAATTTCAGCCTCCAGAGTGCTGGGATTACAGGTGTGCTCTACCATGCCTGGCCTCACAGAGCTATGGCCTGTATGGCTAGGTTTTTTCTGTTGTCTGTCATTCTGTGGTGACAACATCTGGAATATGGCTGGCACTTGACAAGTGGTTGAGGACCAAGTGCAAGATTGTCCCACTTGGGGTATCAGCTTGGAGAGGTGAACTAGGAGACAGGGTTCTGCCGCCTTCCCTAAGTGGAAGAGTCTTATCAAGCCTCCATCACTATGACAAGTCCCTGAGATAATCAGTTCCTACGTTGGCACAGTCTAGTTCCCATCAGTTGTCCTCATGGTTTGAGGCCTGGAGTGAGTCAACACATCATGGCGGGAACACATGGTGAATCAAAACACACTCAGATCATGAACCAAGGAGCGGAAGAGAAAGAGGAAGGGCTTGGGCTCTCATAACCCGCTTTGAGGTCGTGTCCCAATAACTGAAGACCAATATGTAGTTTCCACTACCTCCCAATAATGCCACGCTGAGGAACAAGGCCTTAACACACAGGTCCTTGAGGGGCATTCCAGACCCTAGTGATATTGAGGAGTGGCTGGGGAAATAGTTCTGAGACCAAGGGTGGGACACAGGAGCAGAGAAGGGCTACCTACCAGGCCAGTGGTTTTGCCTGCCCTGCAAGAGCAGGCTGCCTTGGACTGTCATGGCTTCTCTAGTCAATGGCAGTCACCAGGCCCAGCATGTGGCAAGTTGAGTGTACCAATGGGATTTTAAATCTTAATGGACTTGTTACTTCATGTACAAGCCTAACAATGCTGAACCATTAATTGTATCAGGTCTTTTTATGGTTTAATAAATTGAATTTCCTTACCCACTGAAGACTATGTTCATAAATCACTCCCAGTATTTAACTTTAAATTTAATGATCCTTAATTTCCTAAGTGTTTACAAAGTACAATCTCAACATGAAGTCACAAATTCAATTATTCTATGACACATCTTAAAATTGGCATCACAATGTTAATTAGTAAAGATGTTGACTTGTCTTAAACATAGCACAATTCCTCCTGGTAGCAAATAGATACAGAATCTTTGGGAATGTGTTTGGTTTCCTTAATGCCATATTTTATGACAAAGCTCCTGGAATTAAAGATACTGCTTATTCTAAAGAAATAATTATTCAAACATTTGGAAAGTGGTCTTCCCAAGAGAAATTTGGAAGATGGCTGTATTAGTGACTTTTCTCGGCATTGTGACAAAATGTTTGACAAATGCAACTTAAGGCAGGAAGGGTGTGTTTGACTCGTGGTTGGAGGGAACACAGTCCTCCATGAGAAGGCATGCTAATGTAGGAAGCTGGTGAGTGCTGCTCTTTCCCTTTTTTCCTGTTTATTCGGCCTCAGATCCCAACTCATGGGATGGTGCCATCCAAATTTAGCATGAGTCTTCCTTCCTCAGTTAACCTGTAACACCCAAGAGTGTGTCTCCTAGGTGATTCCAAAACCAGTTCAGGTAGACGATGGGAAGATAAGCCATCAAGTCACCTACTCATTGAGGTTGATGAAAGAAGAGAGATTTTTATCTCAGTGGGAGGCCTGGCCTTCAGGACAACAGGACATTCTGTCTGCCACTCTGAGGCTGAGGCCAGGTCTGTTTATATGGCTTCTCTGCCAAGAAGTCTACAAGTTAAAGGGGAAGGTGATTGGGTGGCTCCTGGCTTATTACATAATGCTAAATTCATTTGCATCAGTTCCTTCTCTTCAATCCTTTCCTATCCACGTTAGGTCTAGAAGCAGAAACTTTCAGATATAAAGATGGTATTTGATTGGATGCCCAGGCTCTACTATACCTTATTTATTTTGTAGGCCCCACTTACAAATTATTCTACTAAAAAGTTCCAATGAACTGAGAGGCAGATATAGTTAGATAGTCCCTCTGTTTATTTTCACTCTCATGATTCTGAGTCTTGAGTCCTTCAGAGGAGGCTGTGACCTCTGAGCAGCACAAGGGAGCCAGTGTCCATGACTGAGAATGAACCTTTCAGGAGAGGCTAAGTCTTGATACACATGGACAGTCCTGTGGGGAGCCTGGCGTCCAGAGTAAACTGAGGAGGATGCACAGTCCTGTGGGGAGCCTGGTGTCCAGAGTAAACTGAGGAGGATGGGTGAAGGTCAAGGTGGCAGCACACGACCCAGAGAAGGCTTCTGGAGGCAGTAGGAGGAGTGGAGGGCACCAGTGGCTGAGGAGTGCCAGAGGCGGCACCCACGGGATGTGGGAGTGTGGAAGAGAGAACTCCCTGGGGAAGATGAGAAATGCAAAGGGTGGGGTCCAGGGAACAGATCGTGCCTGCAGACTGCGAGGTTCCCCATTGCTCAGCTGTGGCCATGAGAAGGAAGGAACTGGGTGGGGTGAGAGAGACTGCATGAGAAAAAGAAGGACCAGCTTCCCTCCTTCCCCCCTCCCTCCCCCAGACAGGACAGGGAGGGGGTACACAGAGGTGGACTTAGATCCACTATACATTTTTCTTCTATCTGGCATAGGACACTCAAGGAACAGTGACCCCAATTCCATCCTTAATTCACATTACTTCTAAGCCCAGTTTTAGAGACATGGAAATCAGACTCAGAAAGGTTATGGAAGTTGCCCACGGTCCTGTGGTGTGTCCCTGGGAAGTGAGGACTCTGCCTCCGTTTCTGCAGTAAGGCCCAAGGACATGATGGAAGGGTACCACTCAGAGGGGTGAGGTAAATGGGCTGAGGTTCCTGTGTGGTTTCTGCTCTATACCTCCCTCTGTGAAGATGGAGGGAGACAACAAGGAAGCGTGGTCCTGGGGGGGTTGATGGGCTCCAGGGTGGAGGAGTTCAAAGAAGGGCAAGTGGCAAAGGGATGCCCTGCAGGGTGCAGCCATGATGCCCAGCGGAGTGCAGGGCTGCCCTTTTACCCCTGTAAGACGCCATCGCTTCGAAGCTTGTACATACAGCTGTAGGCAGGCTAACTCTACTCTTTGCTTCTCCGTCTCCTCCGAGAGGACTGAGGAGCTCTGCAGTGTAAATCTGAGCACCCAGCTGAGCGAGGGGGTGAGCTGCCTAGGAAGACACATAAACACCTTGCCTTTGTCTCTTCCATCTAGGGAAATTCCATCAAAAACAAGGATACCGCACGGTGTCTGGAGATCAAGAGAGACCCCTCAGGTACCTACAGGCTTGTGTTAGAGAACTGTACCCAACAAACGTGGAAAATACAGCATATAGGCAGAAACTGGGGCCACTCATAGCCAGCGAGCCCCAGAGATTTGGATTTGGAGGGCCCCGTTCCTCAGGCTGGAATGGTGTCTAGCCACAGTGCTTTCACACTGGGAGAGGATGAGAGACAGATGTGTGTTTGTCTACTGCGACTTCAGCATGCAGCTCACAGAGGGGAGGCTTGAGCACATGTCAAAAGTGTCTGCTGGGGAGAGTGGTGGAAACTCTGAAGCCTCGTCCCCAGCTTGCCTCGAGAGATCGTGATATGCATCAAGTGCCATTCTGGGAACCTTCTCAAAATAGCCAGCATCATCTGGTTGCACTGTGAAGACAGTGAGAGGGATGAACGTTTATCTTTGATTTCCACCAACGCTGTTTAGCCTTCATTCCGACAGCTACTATCACCACCTGTCCCACACCTCCCCCCTGGTCATCTGCTCCCCTCCCCAGACAGTCGTGGGCTGGGCCACGTGACAGGCTAGATACTCTTCATAAGTCTGACAGCTACCCAGGTGGCCTCAATTCCCTCCCTGTCTGGACTGTCCCGAAAGAGACTTTCTCAAATCCCTCAGTGTAGGTGCCTTCTCAAATCCCTCTACCACATTCTCAGTGTAGGTGCCTCTGGATGGCCCGTCTCTCCCACTGCGGCAAGGTCACATAGGAGGAGGAGGATCCTGTGTGTGTGCTGTAGGCTCCTGGAGTCTCCTGCAGAGCAGCCAAAGACAGAGTAGCCTCAGATGCATGGAAAAGCATGTGACTCCATTCCCAGTGGGGAGCCGGCTGAAGGTGCACAGAGGTAACTTTCCACTCAAGTTGGTAAACGACAAATAGTACACAGCACATTCTGTGGGCAGGAATGTGGGAAACAGGTCATCTCACACATCCGCGCCAGGGTTTCAAACTGGTGCCAGCTTCCCGGTGGGCTAATTGGCACGATCTAAAAATAGTATATGTGCATTTTCTCTTTGTGCCAAGAATTCCACCTCTAGAAATTTACCTCCAAAATTATGAATTTGGACTGCCAAGACAGCTCAGAGGGTAAAGGCATTTGCTGCCAAGCTGACAACTTCAGTTTGTTTCCAGGAAGCTACACGGTAGAAGGAGAGAACCGATTTCTAAAAGTTGTCCTATGACCCATCCACACATGTGCACACACACACACAAAAATACTAGATGCAACAGACATATGTGAGATATAAGAACAAATGTAAAGGAAAAAGAGTAAGAAAATATTCATGCACAAAGTAATCCCTTGTAGTATTGATTCTGAGTAAAAAATGTTGGGGGTGAACTACATGCTTGAACATCAGAGTAGCCAGAAATATCCATGCAGGGGGCTGACTGTACAGCTGTAAACACCAGCAAGCCACATCTGTGACTGATATGGAGGGAGAAGCAGTGTATCTTGTTAAGTTAACAAAAGAAAAAGAAGTATGTCCTGCAGATACCTTTTGGTAAAAATGAAGGGGGACATGTTATGTTCATTTCTACACAACAAAAACAAAACAAAAAAGTCTAAAGCTGGAGGTGGAGGCTCATAATTGTAATCCCAGCACCCGAGAGGGTGAGGCAGGAGGATTGTGAGTTTGAAGCCAGTTTGAGCTATGCAACAAGATCTTATATAGAAGAGAATGGGGAGAAAAAACAAACTAAGAAACTAATGAGATATGGTGGTAATGGGTGGTGGCTGGGAATACGGTGTAAAGGACTGGGTAGTAGAAGGCATGTGTGTCCAGGGCAACTCCTCTAAATAGATGTTTATGTAGCTTTGACATTTAGAGCAATGTTTCGAAATTAAATTTTCAAAATTAAATCACATAAAATCAGAGACAAAAATCTCAAATGGATTGTAAACAAAAAATGATCTCACATATTTTCTATTTTTATTGTTTGTTTAACTTATGTGCGTGCACACATGCATGTTGGTTGTTGTTTGTTCTAAGACAAAGGCTCATGTGGTCTACGCTGGCCTCAAACTCGTTATATAGTCAAGGGTGGCCTTGAACTGCTGGTCTTCTTGCTTAAAACTCCCAGGTACTAGAACTACAGCTGTGGACCACGACACCCAGCTTAGATCTAGTTTCTAAATATTTTTCCAATAGAAGGAATGAAGAAATTAGGGCTTCTTAGGGGAGATCGTTAACTTTTGGCTGGTCCTAGGATACATTCCTGTGTTGAAAGTAAAAAAAAAAAAAAAAAAATTGCTCAAGGAAGGATGAGCTGTCGCAAATCATAGTGGCCAGATTGAAGGAGTCCCCACTGGCAATGTTAGGGACTGTGTGAGCATTAGAGTCCATCAAACATTAAAGTCAATTTAGCAATAGATGATACCACAGAATAATATAAAAACCCACGAGTTGTTTCAAATGAATGCATGAATGAGAAGGGAGCACTCCTTTCACGGTAGAATGCCAGCTAATTAATATTGAAATGATTGTGAATTAGAAAGTCACCATCTGGCACCTGCCATAGCTGGAATTGTCTCAGGCAAGAATCATTATCAATGACAAAAACTAGTGAGTGCTAAGAGGCAGGCTACATGCATATGTTGACAGAGTAGCTGCCCAGAAGTTATGCATTAACTGCAGAGGGAGCACAGGGAGAAACCTGGCAGACCTTAACTCAGTAACCAGTTAACATCAGGAGTGGCTGCACAGGTGGGCATCATATGCCTCCCAGCAGCAGGAACCCAGAATACAGAGCCTCAGGAATCTTGAGAAAACTTTAATTAAACCACAACTGAGGGCTGTTATCTAAGATAATCTGGTTAGATGAAGGGGTGCATGCAGTCTGTAATCCCACACTCAAGAGACTGAAGCAGGAGGATTGTGAGTTGATATTACATGTTAGTGTAACATAGTAAGACCCTGTCTCAAAACAAAACAAAAAAACAAAAGACAAAGCAAGATGCATGCTTGAAAATGTCAAAGCCCTCCACCCCTAAAAAGCCCACAAAAGATTGGGGAACCTTCCACATTAAAGTAGACTAAAGACACCTTGATGTGTCCAGTGGTCTTATACAAGGCCCCAGACTCTCTCTCTCTCTCTCTCTCTCTCTCTCTCTCTCTCTCTCTCTCTCTCTATCTCTCTCTCTCTTTCTGTGTGTGTGTGTGTGTGTGTGTGTGTGTGTGTGTGTGTGTGTGTGTGTGTGCTCTCCCTTTGCCTAGAAGAGCAGCGGGTGACTGGCGGTATTTGGGTATTTGAATGGGGTTTGTTGTTTCGATGGTAGTTCTGTGTCTACACTCTTTTCCTGGTCTGAGTGTGGTCCTTGTCTATAAAAGACCATTGATTTTATGAAATACTCACTGACTGTTTTGATGGGACATTCTCTCCGAGATTTTTATGTGTGGGGATACATGACAGCTAGACTGGTAGGTAGCTGGAGCCAAGGATGACCAGGAAGACAAAGGAACCGACACATGTGTACATGTATGGATGAACCGTGAGGAACATGCAAGAATTTCTTGTGCTCCATCTGGGACTTTTCTTTAAGCCTGAAATTGTTTCAAAATAAAAAGATTTTAACAAATTCAAACACAAATTGCCCCATCTATGTAGATAGTCATTCCCTCTCTGTGGTTTTGTTGTCTGCACATTTGGTTTCTTGAGGTCAAATGGTTCAAAGGCATTAGATGGAAAATTCTAGAAATGATTCACAATTTTAAATAAGTTGGCCTGAAAGCTATGACTTGCCTTCGAGATATGTCTGAGAAACGGTCTTCTTGCAGTAGATGGTCATTAACACAGAGACCCACAACTAGAGAGCTATCGGAGATGGGGGGTGGGGGGACTTTGGAGTGCTCAGCCCTGAGTAGGATCATATCCCTCTTTTAAGGCTCAGAAGGGACAGGGGGGCAGGGGAAAGACTGTAAGAGCCAGAGGTGGTGAGAGACTTCAAGGAAACAGCGTTTCCAGATACAACGGGGCAGCTGCACACACGCGCTCACAGAGACTGTGACAGAATACACAAGACCTGTGCAAGCCCAAGCCAGACCAAATCCCAGCCTGGAGGAGCGGACGTGCGCACAGAGTCCCCTTTAGTCTATTCAAACTGATAGCTGTGGGAAAATCATGTCTCTTCAATGGAGTGGCAATGGGTAGGTTTATCAACCACACTTCAGCGCTGCCCCCAGGTTCAGGAGTAGTTAGTCAGTCAATGCAACTCAGACACCACTGTTTTTCTTTTTTTGTAGATATTTTGTTGGTTTTGTAGGAGAAAGAAAGAACATGAAGTTGAGTGAGTAGAGGAGTATCTGGGAGGAGTTGAGGGGGGTGCAGAGGATATGATCAAAATCTATTATATAAAATTATCAAAAAATAAATAGAAACATTAAAAAATAAGTTGGGACTGAGGAGATGGCTTGTAAGGACCTGTGTTTGGGTCCCCAGAACTCATGTAAGAAGCTAGGAGAGGTGGTGGGTGCTTGTAACCCCAGAGCTTAGGGAAAGAGACAAACAGATCCTGGGGGCTTCTTGGCCAGCTATCTGAGCCAATATAGCTCCAGATTCAGTGAGAAAATCTGCCTCAAAAAACAAGATGGAGAGCCATAGAATAAGATATGTTAATCCCTGGAGCCTACCTGACTCATCATGGGCATGCATATTTGCATACATCACACACACACACACACACACACACACACACACACACACACACACACACGGCAGAGAGACAGAGACAGAGGAAAGAAAAGAAAAAAAGAAAATTAACTTTATTAAGTTTGCTCTTATAATTTCTCTAATTTATTATTGAGTTATTTTTCTTGCTACTTCTAATTTAAAAATTCAGCTTTATCATCACTGCATCTTTAATAAGAAAAAACATGAGTATATAGGGTTTGCCACTACACACTGCTTTCAGGAAGCTGTCTATGAAGTGTTTCTTCCTTCTTGGCTGTGGCTATGGAAACAGCACCTGAACCTAACTTTGGTGTCCATTACTCGTAAGAGGAAGCCTGCAACTCTCCCATGGACATAGCTTCGTAGGCTCTGGCTTCCCCTGCAGCCCCGACCTGAGGGCAGGGTTGGTGACTGGCTTGCCTCCTTCTGCAACCTCACTTGGTATTTCAGAGGTTCTTTAGAGGGCCATACTTCCGTGGCTGTGGTCTGTTTCAAACGTCATCTGTCAGGAGATGTGAAGGTCATTTCAGCCCCTGACTTCAGTCTGACCACATTAATGATTCACGGATTCTTCTCCTCTTGAGTTTTGGGGATGCTGGAGCTATATCTGTCATCAACAGCAAATATGGCAGGTTAACCACTGCTGACCTAGGAGCAAAAAGGTCACAAAACCCTAACAGAGAAAGAATTCCTGGTTTCCCCTTGGATTCAGCAGCTGTGACCCTGCCATGCTCTCCCAGATGACCAGACAGTGATGTTCTCAGGAGTGTCTTGAAATGTCCATTTTCTTCCCTATCCTATATCACCTCTGGGTTTTCAGATACCGTCACTGATCTATCCTTTCTGGGTTCTGGGGTGAAACTCTGCCAAACACCTCCCAGGAACTACAGTCGTACAGGTAGCAGGCTCAGCTCCTCTCTCCAGTCCAAACCAGCCTTTTATGCACTCTGTAGCCTGTCAGGCCTTGAACTTGTAATCCTTCTGCCTCTGCCTTCTAAGTTGTTGGGAAAGGATTACCACACCAGCTCTTCTTCTGCCCTTCTTTCCTCTCCTCTGCTCCCCATTTCTCCTTTCATCCTCCCCGCCCCCACGGGATGGTGGAGGCGGGGGTGGACTATGTAACCCTGACTGACTGGGAACTTGCTATGTAGATGAGGGTGGCTTCAGATCTGTGGGAATCCTCTTGCCTCTGCCTCCTGAATGCTAGGATTACAGGCATTAGCCATTGTGTCAGACTTTTCTTCCTCTTTTAACAGCTTTTCATTAACCTCATAAATGAGTGGCTGGCCCTAGTTTTGGTACATTTCTATCCAGAGTTAAATTGAAGGAGTGGAGTTCATGTTTTCTGTTTCCACGGGGGCTGGGACCTGGGGCCCAAACCTGCTGTTCTGGTACCATAGCTGCTTCTCCCCTTGCAGAGCCTACATGGTGCCCCTTTCTGGGCTTGACTAGTCTTGTCTTGAATAACCTTTCTATGAGAAAATTCCTTCCCAGAATGCACAGGAATTTCCTGTTTTTCCAAATCCCAAATTCCAAGAAAAAATCAGTTGAATAGTTGAGAAAACAGGAAAAAAGCTTTGCAGTTTTTCTTCGAGAGTTAAATCTTCACACATGGGATGATATGTTGAGGTTTTGAAGGAAGCAGGTGTGTCCAATGGCACAGGAGAGCAGGAAACAGACACATTCCAAAATTAAGGTCGATATTTTCAGAATCCAGGACAGGAGCATGAAGAGAGAAAGCAATCCTATGGCTGGCATCCTTATGTGTGTGTGCAACATCTTTATGTGTGTGCAGCATCCTTATGTGTGTGCAGCATCCTTATGTGTGTGCAGCATCCTTATGTGTGTGCAACATCCTTATGTGTGTGCAGCATCCATATGTGTGTGCAGCATCCTTATGTGTGTGCAGCATCCTTATGTGTGTGCAGCATCCTTATGTGTGTGGCATCCTTATGTGTGTGCAGCATCCTTATGTGTGTGCAGCATCCTTATGTGTGTGGCATCCTTATGTGTGTGCAGCATCCTTATGTGTGTGCAACATCCGTATGTGTGTGCAGCATCCTTATGTGTGTGCAGCATCCTTTTGTGTGTGCAGCATCCCCATGATGTAAACATGTGCGGTCATCTGTCTCCTCCCACAGTGACTGCTGAAATGAAAAGCCCTCTCGGTGGGGTTTTATGTAGAGTGACTTGTCCACAGTTGAGTTGACCGTGCTTCATAGAGACAACCACACAGATTCTTATGAATGGGGCTCTCAAAAGTATCAGATTTTTGAAAGCAAACTACATGTTATAATTAGAATTGTCCACCTGTCATTTATTCTACTTGGACCTGCTGACTTCATGAAGAAATCTGAATATTACATTATTTGAACACACACAATGCTTGTGGACATCCCCCAGAGTTTGAATGCTATAAACCACACTTTTGTGAAATTACTAATTTTAACATGTCTACCCCTGCTTCTCCTATTTTTTGAGCCAAGGTCTTGCTATGCATCTGAGGCTGGCCTTGAACTCTCAGCCTTCCTGTCTCATCCTCCGGAATACTGAATCACAGGTATGGGTTTCCATGTCCAGCATAAATTCAACATTTCTGACATTTGAAACAGCTTTTTAGTTCTGCATAAATGACTATTGTAATTACTGTTAGAAACACTTAGCGTGTAATTGGCGATGTCAGGAATTTTTCAGAGCCCTCCTTGTTCACTCCTGCATCATTCAGAAGCTGGTAGGAAAACTACCCCTGACCTTGAGTAAGCCTCTAGCCAACCTCTCTGACTCATTACTCTGCATTCTTCACTCATTTAACAAATCAAAAGAGGTCGTGGCCGGGCGGTGGTGGCGCACGCCTTTAATCCCAGCACTCGGGAGGCAGAGCCAGGCGGATCTCTGTGAGTTCGAGGCCAGCCTGGGCTACCAAGTGAGTTCCAGGAGAGGCACAAACCTACACAGAGAAACCCTGTCTCGAAAAACCAAAAAAAAAAAAGAGGTCGTGAAAGAGAGGGAAGAGAGGTGGGAAATAGAGAGGGTGATATGGAACAGAAAAGCAGAAGCGTGACCTAACTGGGTGAGAAAGGGACCAGTTGCAGATGAGAGGGGCACAGAGGGCAGAGATGGAAGAGGAGAGCCAATTAGAACAGAGTATAGTGACACAGATGTCTGAAAAAGCCACAGTGACACCCCTTCTTTGTGTGCTAACCTAAACCAAATGTTAAAAAGAGCAAGCATAAAATAACATTGTGGCTTCTTATCCTTTCCTGAATGTGTGTGTATGTATGTGTGATGTGTATGTTGGTGTGTACTTGTGTTCACATAGGTGTGTGTAGACACATGTGCAGAGAGGTGTGTGTGTGTGTGTGTGTGTGTGAGAGAGAGAGAGAGAGAGAGAGAGAGAGAG